TGGTATGATTTGAGAACTGGAGCTGTATACAAGGGAAGTACAACCCATAAATTGGAGGCCACTGAAGAAACTGTTCCTGCATTCCAAAGATCTGGAACCATTATTCCTAGGAAAGACAGGTTTCGTCGAAGCTCCACGCAGATGGTGAATGATCCATACACTCTGGTAATACTCTATCATTAAGTTTAGAGAAATCCCATACTTCTTATAAAGTTATACCCTCACACTTGCACTATAGAGAAAAATGACGTGGGTCTTATACATGCAATACTACTAAGTATGATTTTCTGATTGTGTTGTGGTTGTAGTCCATTTTGGTTATGTTCATTATTTTTCTTCATAGATCAAGTATTTTTTTTCTTGGAAACTTTCACCTTAGCATATTGTCGTATTCGAACAAATATTAAGTTCGGATCCTAAAAAGCCTGGATGAAGTTTTAGCTTGAAATATGAGAGGATTGAATGCTACTACTTTTGAAGCCTTCTGACATAAACATTTTGCAGTAAAGTCATGATACTATGTCTACTTTGTAAGACTGGATTCCCCCCCTTATTTTGGTAGTTAATCAGCAAATGATGGGTCATTTGTAGGTAATTGCTCTGAATAGCTCACAAAAGGCTGAAGGAGAAGTGTATATCGATGATGGCAAAAGCTTTGCCTTTACACAAGGGGCCTACATCCATCGCCGCTTCGTATACGCAGATGGCAAGCTTACATCGCTAAATGTGGCACCTGCTGCCCTAGGCGGAGCACAGTTTTCTTCCGAATGTGTTATCGAGAGGATTATAGTGTTAGGACACTCTGGTGTTCCGAAAAGAGCTCTCATTGAACCAGAGGAAAAAACTGCAGAAATTGAACTGGGGCCACTTGACCTTAAATTAGGGCTAGGCTCAGACTTCATTACAATCCGCAAACCTAATTTGCCAGTCGCTGGTGATTGGACAATAAAAATCGTGTAAGACCCTTTGTTATCAATAAGCTCTGTCTGTTGATAGGAGCTTATTGTTATGTTACATGTAATATTGCAGTAAGAAAATGAACCTGAGTTTAGACAAATGCAGAATACATGTAATATTGCTTTGCGTGTCAAAAATTATGCTTGTATTTTCAGAAGCTAGCGGACTTGCCATCTCAAATTTGGTTAGACAAAATAGATTGGAACTTCAGATTGGACTCTCTTTTATTTTTATTATTATTATTTTAAATGACGTGCGTAACAAAAGCACTGCCTCTCTCAGTTATACAGTTAACGAGCAATAAAAACAGCGATAATGACAATATAGCCTGGAATAACGTTGGCTTTTTTTGGTCTAGATTGATTTTTTTTTTTTCCTTTCTTTTTTCGCACTAAATGAGGCAGCTAAGTGACATAAATGGACGCTTTGTGAGAATATTACTTATTTTTATTCCAAGTAATTTCTAACAAGTCAATAGCAGAAAGAGTGGTCTTCAACATTGTTGGACAGATTATCGGATGGCTCGGTTCAACCGCCGGCCGCACAAGAGATTGGATCGATTTGGGATGTCAGTAACAAGCTTCAAGACTTGAAACAACATGCTTTCTGCACTCACTGCTCTACTTCTTGATGGTGTGCACAGCCACAGAGTCAGAAACTGGCTTGAAGATGTGGTCTATGATGTTGATGACTTGCTAGACTAGTTCTCGACCCGTCAAGCCTTGCAACAGATCTGATGCGTGGAAACAGAAACATAATTAAGATTGCTGAAGAGGAGGCGAGGATTGGCCTAAGATTGCTAGAATCAGTTTGATCAAATGATTCTGGTATTTCAAAATCAGTTTCAGGTACATATGTAAATCAACTATAAAGTGCTAGTTGTTTCTTGTCATTGTCATCTTCATTCACTTTTGACGACACAAAAACGGCCATCAAAAGTCTTAAAAGTTATTTTAATAAATGATTTTAACATAAAACTGTTTATTTGTTGAAACAACAATTAATATTCACAATGCAAACAACAATTTGCAAAGAAATAGATTGTTGACCCTCCTCATTTATAGTCATCATTAATATATATATATATATAACCCAAATATTTCCAAAACTTTAACAAAGCTTCTCTACAAAATCTAGCTAAGAAAAGAAAACTTAAATATAGAGTGAAAAAAATGTATATAAATCCAAAAGAAATTCTTAAAGTAATTGATTTTGGTGGTCATGGTTGTGCAACGAACGTGATGGCAACGTAACATCGACGATGGTTGGCATGGTCATCAGGGCTGCGTAGGCGGCGATGAAAGGGTTTGGAGATAAAGATATTTTGTAAGAAGATTAAATTACACTTGACAAAAGATTAAAAAACACTAGAGAAAAAAGTAAAAGAATAATAGAAATAAGAAAAAAAGTAAAAATAAATAAAAGCGTGATTAGATATAAGAAAATTTTAAAAATAAATATAAATGAGAGAAATGAGAGGTTAACATGTGATAAAAAGAGGAGCAATATCTTTACTTTTTTATGTATGTTAGATATAAAAAAAACTAACTATGAAACAGAAAAAATGAAAAGAATTTGACATACCAATTACATTTCCAAAAAAAAAAAAAAAAGAAAAAAGAATTTGGTACAACTCTTGTAAGATTTTGTAAGCAACACGACTGCCCACGTTAGCGCCACGTGTATCAAGCAGAAACACGGAAGAGCAAACTGAAACCGAACGTGGAATTCTTCACAAACTCTCCTCTGTCTTGCCACAAACAAGCGTCGAAAAAAAATAAAAAAACTATTCCAATGCAAGAGCAAAATCCCCAAACCACCCTTCCAGTTGAAAATGCTTCTCCGTTTCTTCTGTTTCGGTTTCTTTTCTTTGCTTTAGGCGTTCGCTTCTGCGAATGGTATATTCTTTATTCTCTTGGGTTCGATTCTCTGTGTCTCAGAAATAAATCCCCACACTCTTTTTTTTTTTTTTTTTTAATTCTATTATTCTCTTCGGTTTTCTGTCAACTATTTCTCTCCAAATCTTGTCTTATTGTTTTTTTTTTTTTTTCGTTCCCTCGAAAATACTCTCATCAGGTAAGTAAGGTTGATATAATTAGTGCTTCTTTTTTTCTCCTTTTTTTTAAAATTTTTATTTTCATTTTTCTTTGTACTGGGAGATGAATTCGTGGGATTATAAGCATTTATTAAGTTGTTGGCTCCGTTTGATTTGGTACAATCAATGAGTTCAGTTTTTTTGGGGTGAATTTCTTTACATTGGCAATGAATTCGTGGAATGTTAAGCAAATTTTCTTTTATTTTTTTTAAGGATTTTTTAAAACATGGGTTTTCATTTATTTAAGTTTTTGGTTTAGTTTTAGTACAAGCAATGGATTCTAACATTTGGGTATTCGAAATTAGAAGTTGATCCTTGGTTTCCAAGTGGTGGCTGTCGTAAATTTGTGTTAAAGTTTTCATTTTGATTCGAGTTAGGAAGCCATTTCTGAATTCTCATTCGGTTTAAGTCAATGCCTGCTTTGCTTTGTTTTACAATGTCTAGATTTGGGACATCAAAGTTAAATCTTGTCGTGTTCTTTGATTTAATTTTACCATATTCCAAATATTTATATTAGTGTTTTTTTTTTTTTTTTTTTTTTTTTAAAATTACACCCGGGAATTTTTTTTTTTTTTTGAAAATTACATCCGTGAATTTTGTGTTTAGATCTCTCTCCCTCTCTCGGTTTTGGTTATAGAACATAAGTAATGTCTATATATGAGAGAAAAATCGTAAATTTGTTAAAATATTTTTGTGTGGCTTTTTTGGTACCATTATTGATTGTTTTTACTTGTTTGCACCAAAACTCTTGAGTTACATTTCTAAGAATTGTTGAGATTGTTAATAGTCATTATGAATTCTTCTGAAGACTTTACTTTTCCTCTTCTTTACGGTTAACATAATAGAATCAAGTTTTTAAAAACATTTTTCTAACTGTGGGCCTTCTACAAAATGCAGTGTGTTTCTTGCGTAACGCGTATTTGAAGATGGCGATGATGATCATGATGACGGTTCCAGTTTCATTAATTAATTTATTTATTTAACTATGCTTCAACTCCAATATGGACAAGATATAGATTGAACGTTTTGAAAAGGTATAGTGGTAAGGAAAAAAAAACACAGACATTGTAATTCTGGTCTCGAAATTGTTCGGTTGCCAGCGTTTGTTGTTGATAATAAAAGAATCAAGCTTGTTGTCTAAAAGATTATGGAGGTGCTAGTCTCACCTCAAGGACAAAAGCAACAGTTGCAGACCTGGGGTCGCAAAATTGTCTCAGTTGGGTCCCACAAAGATCTATGGCTTGCCGTGCGAGAGGGCTCCTTGGCCGATGTGGATTCAGCATTGGCCCTCTTGAAGAAGAATGGGGGTAACATCAATGCGAGAAACGCATTTGGTCTTACCGCACTCCATATTGCTACTTGGAGAAACCATGTCCCTATTGTTAGGAGGCTTCTTACGGCTGGTGCCGACCCCGATGCCAGGGTTTGTTGCTTGTTTAACCTTGGATTATATTTTTGCTTTTGTATTCTAGAAGGAATATAAGAAATTACCTTGTGTTCTTGATTGTGGAATGGAATAAGTTTGATCTGAATATAATTGTTGGTTAAGTATCAATAACGATATCTTGTGTTGGGAAGTGAATTATATGCTTTGCTAAGAGGGTGGTAAAAGTATGATGCCTTTCATGTATGTTATAATAATGTATTAACATTTTTCCAAATGTGAGCATCTTTCGGTGGGAAGTTGAGAATCTTTCTGGGTGACTGTTATTTTGATGAAAAAGGAAGAAGTAGATTATGTATCAGAATAAATGGAAGGATTCTGTTTCTCTTTACTATAGGTACTTTTGTAAGTTGAACAATATTAAAGAGAGAGCCAATTCTGTTCATTATGGAATGTCCTGGTCATATTTAATGTGTTTTAAGCAGATGACTGAAAATTTTAAAGTACACACATAAAGTTTGACACCAAGATTGTTCTTAAGCTGGTATTAATTGTGAACTTTGTCTAAGTTATATACCTATTACGCTGGCTTCATAAGCCTCTTTCTTTCTTTCTTTCTTTCTATTTTTATTTTTTTATAGATGTTTGGGCTTTGAAAGCTTGATTTTTTTTTTTTTTTTTGTCTGAAACTTGTACAAAAGAATTTCATGTTTCCAGTATATCTTGTGTGGCAGTCAAATTTTGTTAGTTCCTGTGGTTTAGTTTGCAATGTGAGATAACTTCTTTCAAACATTTGTATTGTAGATGATAGATGGCAAGTTATTCCAAAAAACTTAACAGGTGGGAGAGTGCAAATTAACTTAACTTAACAGAAGAAATTTTAGATTTGAGAAGAAAAATATTTGAGGAAGATCAAGATTGCAAATTTTGGTTGAAGTATTTTTTAAGTTGGATTTCTGCTGGTTAAAATTTTATGATTTCCATCTTGCCCAACCCCGATTACCACATGTTTCAGGATGGGGAATCAGGATGGGGTAGCCTTCACAGGGCACTGCATTTCGGTCATCTTGCCGTGGCAAGCATCCTTCTCCAATCTGGTGCTTCTATTACGTTGGAGGACTCTAAATCTCGAACACCGGTTGATCTCCTATCCGGGCCCTTATCAAAGGTTGTTGGGAGCGGACGTAACTCGGGTATGCCTTATTGTGTTTCCACATGCTTTCTGCGGACCTTGTCGTATTTCAAACTGAATCACTATGGCTAATAAACTGAGTTCTTGTTCATCCTGTCTTTAGTAGTGACAGAGGTCTACAGTTGGGGAAGTGGTGCCAACTACCAACTTGGAACTGGAAATGCACATATACAGAAGTTGCCTTGCAAGGTTGACTCGCTTCATGGCTCACTGATCAAGTTGGTTTCTGCTGCCAAGTTCCATAGTGTTGCTGTAACTGCTAAAGGAGAAGTCTTCACTTGGGGTTTTGGAAGAGGGGGGCGACTTGGGCATCCCGATTTTGACATACACAGGTAGCTCATTGATGATTCATTGTATGTGGATAGTGATTAAGTTTCTCCATTACTTGTTCTTTAAATTCCTTGTCAGTCAATGATATTTTTTAATCATAGCAGAGAGCATTTTAAAAGTGACAAGTGCTTTCTTGCTTTTTTGTTTTGAGGACCTCTTGTCCTCTCTTGTATTGTTTCATCTATTTTATCATTAAAGTTGTTTCTGTTTCAAAAAAATGATATTTTTTAATCATTTTGCTATTGTGTTTAAGGATTTCCCAATTTCTACAATCGTACGAATTCACAAATTGTTTTGTGGTTTGCCTTGGTCTTGTCTCTCTTTGAACAGCTATGTTAAGTTGTAGTAGGCTGATCTTTGGTTCTGCTTTGATACATATATTTTTCCTCAATAAAATTTGTTTTTTTATTGAAAAACAGGGATAGCTGTTCATGTTAGTGTTTGTTGTTCAACGTTCTTTCTTTCTTCTACACTAGTGTACTGTAGGTGTTTGGACGTGTTATATTGATGCATAGAGGTGCTATATGGGTGTGAATGTGATTTCTGTTTGTTTACTACTTCTTATGTTAAAAAATTTTTAGTCAGCATTTTAATTTCCTAACAAAAAAAAATCATATTTGCTGTTACATACTGTGTAGTAAGAAGATGATTTGAACTGTATGCTGCATTTGAGGATGGAAAAAAATTTCTTGAAAATTTATTTTTATTATTATTAATAATCATTATTTTTACCATTGGTTAGACACGTCTTGTTATAATGTTTGCAGTGGTCAAGCTGCAGTCATTACGCCCCGCCAGGTGGTTTCTGGTTTAGGATCCCGCCAGGTAAGGGCTGTCGCAGCAGCTAAACATCACACTGTCGTTGCTACCGAGGGTGGTGAAGTGTTCACCTGGGGATCCAACAGAGGTAAATCATAAGGGGGATTTGGGTATATAGTATCTGTTGCATGTAATGCATGATCGTCATTTTAGTATACTGATCAGTTAATGGAATGTGGATTTGATTTATATCGTTGTTTATTTTCACTTAGGATTGTGGAGAAAGCAATTTGTGAGTCATAAACGTGCTGCTAAGATTATTTGTTATTTTCAAATCATGTTATGCAGAGGGTCAGCTTGGCTATACATCTGTGGATACGCAACCCACACCTCGTAGAGTGAGTTCCCTTCGATCAAGAATTGTTTCTGTTGCTGCAGCAAATAAGCACACTGCTGTTGTTTCTGAGACTGGCGAAGTGTTCACATGGGGTTGTAATAAAGAAGGTCAACTCGGCTACGGTACATCTAATTCAGCATCAAACTACACACCAAGATTGGTTGAATCCTTGAAAGGCAAGGTTTTCACTGGCGTTGCTGCTGCCAAATGTCACACTCTTGTGTTAGGAGGTGATGGAGAGGTAACTTAAATGAATATACATTGTGGTGTAGAAGCTAAAGCACAACATAAAATTTTCGTTGAGCATTAACTAGAGCTAAACTGCTAATGTGGATACGTGACAGGTTTACACTTGGGGTCATCGACTTGTTACCCCGAAACGCGTCGTCATTGCTAGAAACTTGAAGAAGAATGGTGGGACTACTCTGAAGTTTCATCGCATGAAACGCCTTCATGTGGTTGCTGTAGCAGCAGGGATGGTACACAGTTCAGCTCTAACGGAAGATGGTGCATTGTTTTATTGGGTCTCCTCAGATCCTGATCTTAGATGTCAACAGGTTTTCCCTCTACTATACTTGTCGTCTCTTGGTTTTTTCTTAACCATTGGACGGAAATCATACTAGGTATCTTTATCTTGTTTGTTTATGTAGCTATATTCTTTATGTGGACAAAATATTGTAAACATTTCTGCCGGGAAATACTGGACTGCTGCAGTTACAGCAACAGGTGATGTTTACATGTGGGATGGGAAAAAGGGCAAGGATAGGCCACCTGTTACGACCCGCTTGAATGGCGTAAAGCGGGCTAGTTCAGTTTCCGTTGGTGAAACACACTTGTTAGTTATTGGTTCTCTTTATCATCCTGTTTATCCTCTTACTGTGGCCAAGAATCTGCAGAAGCAGAAATCAAATGTCAGCGATGAGCTAGAAGAGCTTAATGAATATCTCATGCTTAATGACGTGGATTCCTGTAACCAACTGCCTGCTGCAGATGAGGATTCTGGGAAAAAGCTTGTGCCGAGCTTAAAAAGTCTTTGTGAGAAAATGGCTGCAGAAAATTTAGTGGAACCACGAAATGCTACACAACTGCTTGAAATTGCCAACTCTCTTGGAGGAGATGATCTGAGGAAGTATTGTGAGGTACTCGTTACTAAATTAGAAGATGTTAATTTTTTTATTTGGTCTTTTGTTTATTTTGAACTTTGCACATTACCTAAATTCTGATTTTTTATTTTCCCCATTTTTGTATGGCATCCATTATTAACTAATCACGTTGAGGATATGGTTATTATTAGGAATGATACGTTTTCATTAGGTACATGCAGTTCAAAACATTTATGTTTCTTTTTTAAATATCAAATAACTAGGTTTATAAATGATTTTTTTTTCTTTTTTCTTTGTGTATCTTACTATTATTTCTCAATGCAATAGATTTTGTCGGTGGTTTTTTGATAGCATGCAATGAAATTTAGGTTACAATGGGTGTAATATCTTTGATTGTAATATTATACAATTGATTAAAAAGCAGTGTTCATTTTTTTATTTTTATTTTTTATTACTTCTCTGTATACTTACAAACTACTGTTGTTCGTTTGTTTCAGGACATTGTTATTCGTAACCTTGACTATATTTTCACTGTGTCATCACATACTATTGCAAGTGCTGCGCTGGAAATTCTAGCTGGCCTCGAAAACGCAATGGATTTGAGATCATCTGAACCTTGGAGTTATCGCCGTCTCCCAACTCCAACTGCTACTTTCCCTGCTATTATAAATAGCGAAGAGGAAGATAGTGAAAATGAGGTACAGAGAACTCGTGACCACCATAACAACAACTTCATGTTGAAGAATGAAATAAACCCGAGATTGGACTCCTTTTTGCGGCCTCAAGATGATCCGAATCAAGATATTTGCAAACAAATCCGAGTGTTACGGAAAAAGTTGCAGCAGATTGAAATGCTTGAAGCAAAGCAATATCAGGGGCATCTGCTCGATGACCAGCAAATTGCAAAGCTTCAAACAAGGTCAGTGCTCGAGAGCTCACTTGCTGAGCTAGGTGTTCCAGTCGTGACACAGCAGGTGACTGCATCTTCTTTGGGTTGTACAGATGGAAAAGGAAATAAAAAGGCCCAGGTATCGAGAAAACAGAGGAGAAAGAGCAAACAAAGGGCAGAACAAATAGAGATAGCGACTGGTATTTCTGGAACTGAACTTGGATCAGAACCTGCCTCAGAGGATTTCTTGGATATTGAAGTCCCTCAGGTCCCAAAACATAAGGTGCACCTTTTCATATTCCCTTAGTGGTTAACTCATTTATGTCTAATTGATTGTATAATCTCCCATGAGTAAATTTTACAACGATCTTAATGAAACTTACATGTGTAGAGTATGTTTTTAGTCGGTGGTTTTTATTTATTGGGTTTTGTGCATTGTAACTTTTGATAGGAGGAAGATATGAATGCTGTGTTTGAAATGACTCTAACAAAAAAAGCCATAAAGGAGTTGGCTTTCAGCGTTCAGGAGTCATCCAATTTGCCAAAGAATAAGAGTCCGTCGCCCACAGTTTTCAAGAAGAAGAATAGGAAGGGAGGGCTTTCGATGTTCTTGAGCGGCGCTCTGGATGAAACGCCCAAACATGTTGCCCCCCCTCCACCAACACCCAAAAGTGAAGGTCCTGCTTGGGGTGGGGCCAGAATTTCAAAAGGACCTGCATCTCTACGGGAGATCCAGAATGAGCAAAGCAAAACCAGGAAGAGCCAGCCAACGAGCAGCGGGGATAAGGAGGAAGATCTCGGCGATGGAAAAAGCGACAGCAAAATTCTGTTGAGTTCATTTTTGCCTTCCAAGCCGATACCAATGGCCTCAACTCAAACGTCGCAGACACATGATGGAGAGAGAAGCACACCTCCTTGGCAGTCATCGGGAACTCCCCCGCTTCTTTCTCGACCATCTCTTAGAGACATCCAAATGCAGCAGGTACAAAATTAGCTGACCCCTCTTGATTTCAAAGTTTAACTATATTATATGTCAAGTGAAAGGCATGCCCAATTTGTCATAATGTTTGTTCCACGAGTATTTCTATACATTAGTCTGTTTGCTTTTGACAACTCGTGCATACTTCAGTCCTCCAAATTCGCAGCACTCATGCTGTTTGTTCATCTCAAGCAGGGAAAACAACATCAAAGCCTTTCCCACAGTCCAAAAACAAGTGTATCTGGATTCTCGGTTACTTCTGGACAGGGCTCCCTGTCGGATTCTTCCGGAATGAGTCGCTGGTTCAAACCGGAGGTTGACGCTCCATCGTCGATACGTTCTATTCAGATAGAGGAGAAAGCTATGAAGGACCTCAAGCGCTTCTACAGCAGTGTCAAGATTGTTAAAAATCAGTCTTGAAATAACATGCCAATGTGGCTTTGTTAGGTAGTAGTTGCGGCTCTTTCTTTTCTTTTCTTTTCTTTTCTTTCATTTATTTATTTATTTTTCTATCTATGTGATAAGACCACTACTGTAAATTTTAACTGTACAGAGAATCTCAGTGTACATTCAGCTCCAAATTTGTAGTGGCAGTTGAATTTCATCATCACCCTTCTTCGGGTGTTTTATTACTACTTTTACGTTCCACATCCCAAGCTTGTCTTGGAAATAAAAAGGAGTGACTTGTTGATTATAACAGACTTGTTCTTTGTCCGTTGGAATACGCAAGCTGCATGTTTGGTGGTGCTTTTAAAAGGGTTTGTTTTGGGTAATGAAAATGAATTAAAAAAACAAAAAAAAAAGAAGATGATTTTTTTTTAATGTTGTTTTTATATTATGTAATTGTTTGTCGATGTTTATTATAGTTTACTTAATTGTAATTGTTTATTTATTATAGTTTCCATTTATTTATTAATTATTGTTATTATTATCATTAGAAATTATGATTTATACATAATTAAGTAATTTTGTACTTGATTATGTGGATTTGAAGAAAATGGAAACAGGAAAAATACCCTTCAATTGTTCTATAATTTCTTCAAATTTAGTCACGTTTTCAGACGGTTCATCTTTGGTTTCTAATTGGCGCCACACCTAGCGTTTTCTATAATTCTCTCTCTCTCTCTCTCTCTCGCCATATATATATATATGCTAGAAGATTGAATCTTGGCCCTCCATTTGAATTTCCATTTATTTCTAGCCATTAGATTGGAATCTCCTCTTATGGTGATATTTGGTTTGATTTGTTCAATTCACTATAAATTTATGTGAGAGTGGAGTATTTTTGCATACTGTCGGTGCTCAAACCTTTGACTGAGTGTGGCATGAACTATAGGATGATCAAAACAATTGTTGCTAACACTGTTGCAACACTAATTTATCCGTGTTTATTATTATTTAACTGATTCGGGAAGTTTAATCCTTAGCTTCATCAAATTGAAATTCTGATTTTGCATTAAATCTTATCTTAGTGAGAATCGACAGTCTCTGATTACAACAGAGACTCTTTACTTTCGTAATCAAATTTTCACATAATATTATCCTTATTCCGGACATTCTCATTTCATAAACATTCAACTAAACATCAAACACTGGAAATTCATATTGAATTTAAACATGTAAAGTGTTTTAAAGCATCACAAAATACATGTCATCAAAATACACAGTATCAAAAAAATTCGTTATCTTATTTCACACCATTTTCCATAATTTAAATTGACGAATTTTCCGATCATTACAACCACGCCAATCCCAACATAGTCCGCAAAACTTAAAATCGAAGCATCAACATTGATTTTCACTACACTTCCTTCTGGGGCTTTCCAAACACGTCTAGGAAGTGGTGAATTAGTGCTCCAGTAGAATTTCAAAGCAGTTTTGAATAATTGATTACATCCTAGTTCCAAATCCAATCTTTTAAAATCTTATTCACTTATTTGAATTTTTAATTCGAGTTGAGATGTAATTTTATGTGATATTTTTTTACTGTAATAAAAAAGTCAAATATAACTGTTTCTAGAGTTTTTTACTGTAACAAAACTCGAATTAATAAAATAAACGAAACTTTAGTTCTCAAATTGCAAATTAAAGTAGCACAACCCTTATACTTTTTGCAAAGCACTTTTATTTATCATACAATGATAGTGTTAGACTACTATTTCACAATTTTAAGGTACTGACATATACGTCGTAATTACATCACTCGTGGTGACAAATTAGAATGGATTTACCAAAGCGTAATTACCACTTCTCTTTTTTTCTTATATAAGAATGAATTTACAAAGCGTTAAAGAATGTAATAGGAGATCTAACTGAGTTAGAAAGAAAAGTACTGACGATCATTGATTCTATTTATAACATTCACTTGCTTATTAGATAGTGTTATGGGACCAAACAATTTTCTTTCCTGTATTTCAATAAGTTCACATGATTAGATAGGAAGGAAAAAAAAAAAAAAATTCATTTTTCTTTAATGCAAAGATCAGCCTCAATATTGGATGTTGAGGCTCTGATTGTGTTGCAAGGGGTCCACATGGAAAACATAATCCAAGTCCCTATGAAAAGGAGAGGATGTAAGATAAATATGAACATGAAACTAGATCATATCATTTCAAATTTCATGTGAATTATCAACTCTTTTTTTTTTTTTTTTGGCTAATCAATGTGATCTTAAACAATTAGAGAAAATATTAGAGGAAAAAGAAAAGAAAGGAAAAGAAAAGAAAAAGGAGTGAAAAGACAAGGAAAGACAAAAGACCAAAGATGGCGTGAGTCATGGGAAGAGAGAGGGTTGGGTGAGAAAGCCAAAGGTAAAAACATTTTTTTTTTCCTCTTTCTTTTTTGATGTGATAAGTGATAAAGGCATAAAATCATATATGAGAAACTTCTCAAGAGGAGGAAAAAACTATTCGAGACTGATTTGCCAATAATAATTAGTGTTATAAAGATTTATTTATTGATCCCACTTGGAGCCAAGTAAAAATATGTCGATTTCTATTATTACTAATGCCATGAAATAATTCGATATAAAAATTCTCTCCGAACTATAGAATTTGTAATGTTATGTCTCGTTAATTTCGAAACACAACATTCGTTCTCTTGAAATTACAAAAAACATCAAAATCCTTTTGTTTTTTTTTTTTAATGACAAGAAAGTGACGGTCATGCTACCCCAAGGTTTTAGGTACTTGAGTAAAATGTAAAAATTTAATTAAAATATAATAATTCTCGTTTAACATACCTTATAAGAATAAACAAAGTACGCAATAATTAATTGACATTTTTATGTTACGTACAAAAATTACGTGGTAACTATTACAATTATTTAAATTGTTGTAAGATATTTTACATTTGTTAATATATTTCAAAATAATAGGTAATTAAGATTATGTCATATAATGTCTTAATTATTCATCCATTGTAAATTGAGCAAGTGGAAGATTAATCCCTTAGAGCCCCTACTTTTTAAAAGACCCCTTCATTATTTAGCATGAAATATATATGGGAGTGAAATGAGGAAATTTGAGCAAATTATTCCTTGAGATCTCTTCCATGATCATCTGTCTGAGTTTTCTGGTGGAATTGTCTTAAATGATCGACAAGTATTCTTTTCGATCTCGGCCAGCTTTCGTTTCATCCACAAGTCTCCATCAGCAATTGGCTTAACAAAGAACATGCTCTTGTTTCCAATCACCAATAAAAAAGAGATATATAACCGGTGTTTGAGAACAATCTTTAGAAGATACTACCACGGTTTAAACACTGTTGTCAAATCTAGCGTTATTTTATGTCAAGACGTACGATTTAAATACAATGATGACTTTTAACTGTCATCTAATACGTATGTGAAATATCAAACGAGTTCAGAAAGGGCATATTTAGATTGCGTTTGGAATTAGTTTTAATATGATTTTATTTTCAATAAAAAGTAAAAATAAGATTGTTTTAAGAATTATTCTGAGACTGATTCTGAAATTGCGTTTGGTTAATTTTTTTAACAGATTGTTTTGAGTATAATAAAAAAGTAAAATCGTGTTTATTAATTAATATATTATAATATTGTTAATAAGTATTAAAAAATGAAAACAGAAAAGTAAAAATAACTTTCAACTGTTTTTTAATTTTTTCACAAAAATCATTCTCACTGTTTTTGTTTTTGTTTTCAAAACATTTACTAAACAAACGCCGTTTTATTTTCATTTTCATTTTTTACTTCTCGAAATATGTGAAAACTGTTTTTAAAAACGGTTCCAAACACGCACTTAATTTTTGCAAAAACCATCCTTAAATATGCAACTTTTAATGACAACTTATTTAGAACAGTCGTTGAAAGTATTATTAAACAAAAATCGCACAAGCTGAAAATTATTTCCTTACTCAAACCACAAATTCTTCAAATATTTTCCACAAATTAGAAAAACTACCTGTTAATTTGGTCAAACAACACAAGGAACAATTTCCAAATAAATATATCACAAATCCTCAGTCTCATATGGGATAATTATCAACATAAATATAACACAAAATATTCCCAAAACTGTAAGCAAAGTCTTTATACAAAATTTAAACAAATTAAATTAATTAAATTAAATACAAATAAAAAATGATCGTATACACATCCAAACAAAAAAAATAAAATTAATTATCACTAACGAAAAAATCTTTGAAGTTTATAAGAGTTGTTTGATTTTAGTGGTCACGGTGGTGGGGATTAACATGATGGCGAGGTCATGGGTGTGAAGACAGACATGACGGTCTTGTTTGGTTTGCAGTTTGGATTGTATGATTTGGTTTGAATTGTGGTTCAAACAGGTGTTTGGATACACAAATAAATTGTAATTTAAATTGCAAATAAAATCCGAACTATGTTTAGATAAAGTGTTGAAAACTGTCACTAGAATTTTGTAAGAAATCTTATAAAGCCTCATTATAAATGGTATTGAAAAATATGCAATATGGATAGTGATTTGTTCCTCTCTTCATTATAAACACATTAAAAAAAATAATCTCAATCGGAATTTAAACGAAGAAGTTAGACATTTTTAAACTTGAAGTTGAGAAGAGAGAAAAAGTATAATCTAAATTGTTTTCACTCTAGAAAATAATTCAGATTGTGTGAATTTAGCGGAGGAGGTAAATTCTAAAACGAAGGGTTTGAACCATTGTTAATACTTTGAATTCTCCTTATTTAGTTGAGTTGTTGAAATAAACATGGGCGACATGATTTTAGTGATCGATCGAGACGTGTTCTTCTTGAACTCGATATGCATGCTTTGGTTTCCGGAATCAATCTCGATCACCAATTGGTAGCAAAAAAGGAAAAAAAAAAAAAAATCTCCATCAACAAGCAAGCACTATACTCTGATTTCAATATCGCCAATAGCACAAACGCCACATGTATCATGTATGCTTGACGAAACACATATTTGCTGTCCTAAAGTTTACCTGCCTTTGTCTCTTGCGGATAGCTTTTTGCGCTTGCTGTGTGATTCTGCACTCCTTTCTTTACCAAATCCAACTTTGTTTAAAAACTTTAATAAGAAATTGATAATTATAAGTTAACTACTCCAATTGCTTAACAAGCATGCAATTTGTTAAACTTAATTAACTTTTATGACAATCCTTTTGTGGCCCATGCTTGAGAATCATGTATTCCATTAAACATCTATTATAACTTTTTAATTACTTTATATATAT